CTGGATGATGTGACGGCAGCCATAGTGCACCAGAACGCTCACCACACATCAGCTATCAGTGGGGAGAGCAGAGTAATGAAGCCAGTTCATAGATGGGGATTATTAGGAAGCCATGATTGGCAAGGGACAATAGGAAATTTGGCCAGTACGCCAGGGTTACATCACTACTCTATTCGAGAAATGCCCTGGGATTTTTAATGACCACAGAGAGTGAGGACTTCAGTTTTACGTCTCATCCGCAGGATGGTGCCTGTTTACAGTATAGTGTCCCCGCCACTATACTGGGGCATTAGGACCCACATGGACCGCAGGGTGAGCGCCCCCTGCTGGCCCCACTAACACTTCTTCCAGCAGCAACCTTAGTTTTTCCCAGGAGGTCTCCCATCCAGGTACTAACCAGGCTCACACCTGCTTAGCTTCAGTGGGCTGCCAGTTGGGAGTTACAGTGAAATGGCTTCTGGTATAATTAATATATAATTTGCGTCTCTGAATCAACCTAAGAGCCTGTCTGAGTTTGTATGTCCAGCTACAGGCTGGAATTCCCTTCATATTCCTGCCTTGAGCCCTATGCTTTTGGGATGCCAGATCCCAGACTGAGAATAAGTGGCTTTATGAAGATGGATATACACTTTTGTTCTTATGATACATCTCTTGAAATTACATAATGATAACTCACATCTTTCTCCAAGTACAAATGAGCAAGTCAGTATTTTACATAAGCCTAATTGAAAAACCGGAACAAATACCTACTTCCATTCCTGCTCTGTTCCAGGCAGAATAAACACATCAATTTGACACATACATACGCATGTACAATATATTCAGGAGTAGTCAATAATTACTGTATAGGCAGAAGTGCTGTAGGAACCATTCATAACTCCTACCAAATCCTGGTGACCTAATCAATTCTGATTAAAGGGAAGCTAAATGAAAATGTGTGTTATGTCACTTTTGGTTGACATTTTAAATAAGCTTGCAGCATATAAGCACATTCTTCAAAGAAGGATAATAAACACTTGATGCCTAGTTGAGTAGGAAGATAATAGAATTTTCATCTATTGAGAAACATTTTTTGAAAAAAGTTATGTAATTTTCCAAATTAAATTGGAAATGAGAAGAAGAAGCAACACAGGAATAAAAAAGGCAGTTTTATTTAAATTAATTTTAAATGAACATCACAACTTTCGAGTGGGAGTTAATTTTGTAGGAATTGTAAATTTGTTATGATACTGGTCCAGGAATCCATTGACAGTTCTAATAATAAAACATAATTATTATAGTCTATATATAGCAAACATTTGTTTTCATCAAAGCTTTGTTCAATTTCTACCTACAGCAGAGGTCAGTTATATGCTATCAGATCATAATTATGTTTCAAACACAATGAGCACAATGAGATTACTCCACTGGATATGCAAAAAAGAAGGTATACTACAGTAAATAAAGCTTTAGTCATACATTGTTGCTCAGAAGAAATTTGTGAATATTTCATAATTTATTATATTTTAAAAAATCATTTCTGATTTCAAATAAATGTGAAGTTATGATTTTGTAATTATGTTTTAGTGTTTCAGTGCTCTAATGGATGTGAAACCCTGAAATGTGTTGTTAAATACAAAGATAACAAATATTACCACCCTCTATCTTCAACAATGTTTTTCACTATCTGATTAAGTATAATACTGCTTGTTAAACTATGTCTGTTTACAATGATACCTCCTCTACATTTATTGATTAATTCTTCATTCTAGGATTCATGCCAGAGCAAGGCAGATGACACGCATAGGGGAAATGAACAGCGTTTAAAGTGTTAGATTAAATAGTTATAATAATAATAATAATAATAATAATAATAATAATAATAATAATAATAATTTGTCTGAATTCAGTGTTTTCTACTTTTGTTCGGTTTTAAGTTTCACTTGGGGTTAGAGGAAAAACAACATTCACTTCACAGAGAATGAACTGATTAACTTGTGGCAAAGCATGTCTCCATTAGTCCGGACACATTGTTTAGCCAACATGTTTGAACCATATTCTGGATTTGTAGTCCAGGAGCAGAGATTATATACTTCCAGTCTCAAGCACTGAGGGTAAAAACGGCCTGCCATGAGTTAAAATGCACAGAGAGCAGATCCATCGATGAGAATACCAAATAACTTGTTTACTTATTTTAATTAATTCATGCAACTGAGGTTATTAATGAGAGGTTAAAGGTTAACCTAACACAGAGTTTTAATTGAGGATGTTACTGCCTTGAGTGTTAATTTAAAATGCATTTTGACTCTTTTTTTTTTCAATTAAAAACAAAGCTGCTGTTTGCCTGTTAGCTAATCTGACTAACCACGTGAGAAATGTGACCCCATAACAAGTAAGTTATTTGGTTGATTTTGTAAAGAAAATGGTGTCTAAAATGATTCCAGGTAAAATAATCTCATAAACTAACCTTCCCAGCGTGAAAGAAAAGATCAATTTGCTCTTGGTTTGGTAGCTGCATTTTCCACGTGTGCCAACATAAAAAAAAACAGTAACATTTTACTTGCAAAAACAGTGTTTCACTTCCATTGTTCAACATTTGCATTGGCATTGATATAAAAAGGTTATTTTTTAATAATTGTTACTGCTCCAGGTACTGTCACCTACTTGTGGATTAATATGTCTTTTTGTATTACTACTGACCAGTACGTCATTAACTGAAACAAATGTTTTTGCAATTAAAAGCTGGAGCATATATAAAATTGAACATTTTGGGGTAAGAACATTTTATGAAAGGAAAATGATTTTAATACATATTTATTTTTAGAGTTTGGTTTGAGTATAAGCTTATATTCACTTATGCTTATTTAAAAAATGTAATGGAACAAATGAGTTGAGGAACATTTCGTAATATGTACTGTAGTTTGAATATATACAATACATAAACTTTCATGCACTATATACGAAAATGAGCATTTTTGCTTTCAGTAAATGTTGTATTAGATAATTCATTTATACATCAGCATTAACTAAATGTTTTCTGATTTCTAGGCCTGTCAGAAAATAGAACAAGAAAATTAGCTTCTAGACTAAACTGAGATTTTTGTTCTCAGTCCAATGACTCACTTCAGCCTGTACATCAGTGACGTTGGAGAATTTCTAAAATTAACCCACTTCTGAAAATGTAGGTATCTGACAAGACTCAGCTGAGTCAAAGAGTGTGGAGATCAGTATTAGCGAATACTAATGTCATTAATGAACAATACCCGAATGACACAACACCCCCTCCCTGCGCCTCTAAGGAATGTGTCTGCCTTCTGTGCGTTTCCAGAGGCAGATGAGCCTGGATCTGAGGCAGATAAGTAGGAACAGGCAGAAATCAATACTGCCTGTCACCTTTTAGCAGGGTATACCATTTGTCCAGAAGCAGTTGCCTCTCCAACGTTCACGATCACAGGGCAGGTGCACAGACAGACGCAGGAGTATGAACTACATTCTTAAGCGCAACCTTGAACGAGGACCTAGGCATCTTCATGGACCTCAGACTACTGAGACACGGGCAGCCTTGAGCGTCCAGCTGTTATGTCAGTGTTTATCTGTAAGCAAGGCTCGCCAGCAGACCGATTTTTCTGTTCATGCACATCGGCTCACTCACAGTTTTAAACTCAGAAGTTTTCACTGTTTTTTTTCCCATTGTTCCAGTAATTATTTAAGCGTTAGCTTTTGTGGTCCTGTGTGCGTGATGCAATAAAAGGGTGCTGAAATGTTAATGAAGTAAAAGTTTGTTTTATTGTTCTGTTTCGTGGAAGTAACCCAGGACATCCGTCTACACACACTAAGACAATGTGGGACTATTGGAGTACTGCTTAAAAATCCGTCATTCTCTAAAGCACTTCGAGCAAGAACATTCGGGCAGAAAAAAAAAATTAAACAGGCGACTTCTGGCTCAGTGTTGGAAATAAAATAACAAGCTACTGCAAATGTTTCCGTCATCGAGATGAGCTTCTGTGCAGGAAGAAGAAAAAAAAACCCAGTATCATGTCAAGTCAGTGACTCTGCTGTGACAGGAGCTCCGAATTGCTCGGCTCACCTCTGAGCAGTTCAGCAGCTGAACACTCGGTGCCGTGTAGCCGTGTCGGTGCTGCTGGCACAGTCATTGTTCCTTGACGTCACCGCTCAGCCAACCCTACTGCTGCTGCTGCCGCGGCTGCTCTCAAACCTGTCTTTGTTATTCAGAGCTTTCCGTCGGAGGCCGGCGAGCTGCAAAACCCGGAAAGCGTGATCCCCCCTCAGCGCCACTGAACCGGGAATGCCAAACTTTTATCTCGCTGGTTGCTGTTATTAGTATCCCTACTTAGAAACGCCGTGGGCTTTCTGACTGTGTAACTCCGGCGTTGGTACACTTACAGTTTTAGAGGGGAAGCAGAAATGTATAACCCTAGAGACACAACCCACCCAGGCGGTTCATGCAGCAGCGTACAGTAGCTTTGGGCGATCATTCAAAGCACCACCCACGTGGTGTTGGCGAATTCTTTCAGCTGCGGGTTCGAGAGAAGATCCGAACTGATCTCCGTGAAATATTAACGAGGAAGCATAACAATCGTAAAATGTTCTGCTGTGGATTTCTAAAACCATTCAATCAGGGCATCTGTAATTATCATCCAAATTACCTAAGTGAAGTGGTAGACCTCAAGAGCTGCATATCAATAGCCCTAGATTATAATGGTCATAATACATACGTACCCGAACGTGTAACTAATAGCTCTCTACATATGCCTTTTTTAAAAAATCGCACACCGTCTTTATCTTTTCACATCTCCAATTATATTCCACGTAGACGAAAAAAGGCGTGCAAACGCTTATTCGGGTTTGAGGCTTTAGTGTAAGGTGTCAGAGTGGAATTATGTTTTTGCCTTTTCCCCTGAAATGATCTAAAATGAATTCGAGCAGGGTTTTCCAAACATGCTCCCACCCGTACAGGCTCTGGGACACATTTTGCCAGCAACCACTTAGCATGGCCCTTTGGTAATAGAATAGCCAATGTAATTTGACACTTCAACTTGCTGTGCGCTCTGCTAGTTGATTCAGTTACTCACCCACTAACGTTGAGCTCCTTTTCTGTGTTTGTGACGAGCAAAAGAAAAAAAAGATTACATATTTTTTTAAAAACGAAGTGAAAATAAAAGGGATTTCTCGTTGCCTTTTTGCCAGGCTTGGATCCGTAAGTAAGTTCCATGTTTGTTTCCGTATCGGTTTTCACACCTCTCGCCTGTGACTGGGAAGGTTTTGTGTCGACTTGAATGGGGTTGTTGCTTAACAATGGAGTAACCAGTTAAAGATACATGCAAGATATGTAAATGTTTTTTTCTCTTCCTGTTTGGTTTGTAGTGCATTACCCACATAAGAGACAGGTTGTTTTCTGGCTTGGCTAGGACGTGGTTTGTTTTGTACCAGGCACTGTGTATATTCTCAGGGTTGTATCCTTATTGTGTAGCTTTGGCTATAATAAATCAAGACGCGAAAGTGTGAGGTGTGTGGTTGAGAGGTGGGTTCAGGTCACTTTTTTGAGAGAGATTCTGCTCCTGTAATTCGTTTGTGTGTGGAGAGAAGCTTTCTGCGGAGTAACAATATCATGTTTGCGATTCTTCGTTATTAAAGGCGTAACTAATCCACATACACTACCTTTGAGGAAACTGTTTAAATGACCAAAGGCATGGTTATTAGCAGTAGCGCATGTGTTTTTAAGCTTTTTAAAATTTATATAATGTAAAATATAAGTTCGAGTTTGAGTGATCACCTACCTAGTAATGCATGGGTCTGAACTTTAAAGGGCAATTTGTAAGTTCTTTAGGACAGTGGTAAAACGCAGCCCTGATGTGTTGAGGTTTCATAAATTGGCTCCGCGAATTCCTGGTGTCTGCACTCTGTGGCCGGTGTGGGATTAAAGGCCTCTGGTCTTGAATGGGGCAAGATCGACAGGGGTTAGACAGTCTTTCACTGCCGTGCATCTGTCCAGGAAGCCAAGAAACAGACAACTGAAGCAAAATAAAATAGCAGGCAGTGCCCCGGTTTGCTTTCAAACTATTGTCACAGCGAGAGGGAAAAGGGAGGGAATAGTTCTCACTGAAGCACTGGTTTAGCTGCAGTCCTGAAGAAAAACTGCGGACTTAATGAGGCACTTAGGATGTAAACAGAGGATAAAATCGTAAAAGACGGGTAAAAACAACATACCTCGAAACTCCCCACGTCATGTATAAAAGCCTGATGCGGGGACATTGAGATTATAAAACAACAACAAATCCTCCAATAAACTAGTTTTCATCTGCAAATTGTTGGTGTCACCTGATTGCTTTTTAAACACTTATGCAGTTTCCTGTAAATTGTAGAGGGCTACTTTTATTTTTCTCTTTCCTCCCATTGCATCCAAAAAGATTTGCAAGAAGTTGCACTTTTTTGTTGCCAAGACAAATGCCGACCAATATTCAGTGTTTTGATGCGGTACAATATTCACGTAAAGCATCTTAACGCATTTTCTCTTAAGAACATGCACAACTACAGAAGAGTTTCACTATCTTGGAGAAAGACTGCTTTGTATCATTGAAGTAAACACTGTTGTTGCGTTTTCTTGGGGGGTTAATTCCGCTGCCAGGAAGGCAGTGCTGAACAGAAGCCTTCATTTTGGAAGATGTGTTTGAGTTTAAATTATCATACCACGCTTGATGACCGTGTGCCGATGCCAGAGAAACTGGTCTTCAGAGCTGTTTGAAGCTGGTGTTCTGATCCCCTTCAATGCGCTGACATGAGAGTGTAGGATTTAACTTGGCAGGTCAGACAAATGCTCCATGAGAGGTTTCCTATGAGACTTGATGCAAGTTTGTCGGCAAGTGGAGGTGAATGACCTAGGGTATTCTTTTTTTTCTAGTGTTGTCACAGATCAAATTGGATTTTGCATAGGTTCTGCATTTGGATGTCGATCAAGCCAGTGGTGACTGAATATGGTGATATGTTTTTATTTGTTTGGCTTGTCCTGGCCCACCTGCAAAGCTGCTGTTTACCTGCTGGCTTCTTCAGGTCTCTTATACTCGTATGTTTGAGGAAGAGGCTGTACAACAGGGTGCCTGGGTTGTTTATAAGCATGCTGGAGCAAACAGTGGTCAGCAATGATATTTCGTTCAGTAACTCAAATCCACAGAAAGTGGAGTAATTTTGTAGTGCTTCCAATGCAAGTGATTCTTGTTTGCTCCAAGTTGTTTTCCCATTTGGGCTGTGCTGAGCCATGATCCTTGCCAACTCGTCGGGGTCTGGATTGGAGAATCTGCAGCGGAGAAGAGGAGTTAATTTTCATCCCTCCTTCTCTGTGGGGCCCCAGGCTGAGCTTGTGAATGACCAGGGACAGAAGCACTGTGCTGACCTTCTTCTATTCAGACTGAGGATGTTGAAACACCAGCCGTCGGACAAAAGACACATTGAAACTGAGATCTGCAGCACAGCACGTGCAGCAAAGTCTGGAGCGGAGCATTTATTAAAAGTGCTTTCTGCAAACTGAAGGAAGCAAAGGAGCATTCAGAAAACTTAAAATGCATCTGTTGACGATGAACATGGATAGCTCTGTTATTCGACTCTCCCACCAAAGACATTGTTTAATTATTTCGTTTGTGATTTTTTGTGTCGTTGCACACTAGCCGTAACTTTGAACGTCCTAACAAAAATCCCTAAGCAGCTGGACTTTTTTTCATTCCTGTATTGTAACGTACCTAACTGCAGTATTTACCTTGCTCAAGTAGAAACTTTTTTTAAATGAGCGGACCTTCCCTTATATTCACTGTAAATATCCTTTATTTACAGTTTTCATCATTTCATCTGCAGATTTTTTTTGATGCAGGTTCCTTGTTGCCCAGAAGTCAGTGATCATTGGATTTTTTTTTTCTTTTAACATGTTCATGGGGAGCATCTTGTCAAACGTGGCAGTGTAATCGCATTTATTTGAAATCTAAGATGCTCTTGTGGGACAGAGCTCTTATTCCCATCGCCCAGCTATCTTTGTGTGACTGCAGAAGCTTTTGATTCCATTTCTGCACTGATCAACCTGTTTTAACTGCAGTAAAAAAAAATGTAGTAGTGATTCGGAGGGACCGAGTTAAACACTAGAATATCTGCAGTTTGTTTAGTGAAAAAAAATAATCCCAGTCCTAAATGCATATTATTTCACTGGAAGCTTGAGTTATCTGTATTTAGTAAGTCCCTATGAGGGATGCTTAATAAAGACGTGTGCTGCATTCCATGCTGTCTGTGTTTCAGGATTTTTTTATAGTTGTCTGTGGCCCTGGTGACTGACAGGAGGTGCAGAGTTTCTGAGGGGGTCTTGCCTTTTGATTCTGAAATGCAGGCCAGAGAATGGAAGAGAGCTGAAAATTGCTATGCCACACAGAAAAGAGTTCAACCTCAAGATCAGAAAGCTAAAAACACACATGGGCGGCTATTCATTACTACTTCTATAAACAGCCTGTATTTAACTGAGCAGTGTAATTTTTAAGTAAACACTGTAAGCTCTTTCCTTTTAATGTGTTTGCTTCTTCTGAGGGATATAACGACGATAATTTTCATATGTGTTTTATATATTTTTTTGGGACAAAAGATATGAGAAATGTGGGGGCTTAGCTTATGTGGTGACCAAGCTTAAAATTAGGATACAACTGCCGCCAGTGTTTGTACATTGTTTTGTGTTCCGTTCCTGCACATTGTTTCCAGAGCATTGTGCTACCAGGCACTGAACATAAATTGACTAACATCACATATGTTTGCTAATTGCAAATACGAGCCGAAGTGGCCAGTAAATAGCGTAGTAACTGAGCATGTAGTGTTATATTCATTGATTAGTGTTCCTCTGTCATTTCACGCAGAGGAATTACAGCTCAAGTAGAAAATCCCTGAATGATTAGCCTATCAGCCATCCTGTAGTAACTAAAATACTGTTCTAGGTCCTTGGGGACAGGGAGCCTTTTCTACTCATGACTGCAAGGTTCTGCTTTTGTGCTCCATTCATTTCTTGCACTGGAAAAGTTAAGATTTTGTTTTCAGAAAAAAAAACAGCAACCCGTACACGTTGCATGCAAGTTCGTAGTCTTTCATCTTTGCAGTTTGTGTGGTGTTTTTTTCAAATCGGCTGGAGTGAAATCCTTCAGTTTAAGATTGCTTCTCTTTTGCAACTTGGTGAGGCGCCCCCACCTCCCTGCCTCTCTCTTGAATGTTGGTTGAGGTTTGTGTCATGTAGGAAATTACTTCCTACTGAGTCATCTGCACAACTTCCTATTGCACCTGGTGTTCTGTGGAAATCTCAAAGACAAATTCTCACCCTGCCAGAACATTCTTTATTACATCAGTGAAAGAATAAGACACCATCTCACCTTAGTTTCTTGTTCTTTTTGAACGGCATGCCCAACCCTCTGGCATCCCCTAGACCGAAATAGGGGGTATCAAGAGTCTTAGAAAACAGGTTTAGTTTTCCACAGCTGCACTAATTTGGACAGGCTGGCGGATGTCAATAATAAGAAATAAGTGGTGTATGTTTTCAGAGTTTACAAGGAATGGAAATGACATACCAGTTAAACAGCATTTTGAGACATTTCAGATTTCATAATTGCAGGCTGTGGTACACAAGCCACCAACATGTGCCTCGATGTTTCGTCTGTGTTTTCTAGTTATAGATAAAAGTATTGACACCCTTCATGTGATACAGTTGTTCCTCATTCCTTTTGAGGAGAAAAGGATTGCTTGTCTGAACCGGTTAATAACAGATTTTTAAATTTCAGTCAACAGGGATTTCACTTAGTGAGTATTAACTAGTAGTTAATAGGTAAATTAACTCTGATTAGACAGGTACCAGTAGCACCTGCAGCTCCTCACTGTCGCTGTGTACATTATCCTCTCAAACAATTCAAGCATTCCCTTTCGCTCTCTAAAATAGAGATAGAGAGAAGCTCTAATGAGGGATATTCTAGAGAAGGATTCAGATTTTTTTTAAAGCTACTGCTGACTTCACAACTAATTTTTCAGTTTCTTTTTAAGGGGCGATTCTGCATAATCTAACCACACATTCACTTATCTTTTTCAATTACTGACAGTACTGTGAGCTATCAAAAGCCTGAGCTCAAGTGTACACTAGACGCCTGGTGGAGGAGTGAAGGAGGTATTTTTCAGTAGCCGTACAGTAGCTTTGCATTATTTA